TTGTGGCAATGTATATTCCCCACACGGGGCGATTTTTACCGTGCATTAGATTGAAGTTGACATAAAAACTGAAGATCTGCGTTTATGCTCATGACCTTGCTGTACGCATTGTCTTCTGTTCTCCATGGAGTTTTATGTTAAACAGAGGATTAAGGAATGGGAGCTCTACTCTGGCTCCTTTTCTGCCATGGAAGTCATATCGAGAAATACGAAAAGGCCGAAAAGCAATATGAAGATGGAAAAGTCACGAAATGGCTCTCTGTCGACTTCCTATTAATAAAACTGTTGACCTCAAAAATTCCATATTACCAGCTTAGCGGTTAATCCAGAGACCAGAAAACCCATTCAAGTGTCCTTATTCTGTTCGTCTACATCGCCCAAAAATGTAGAATGCTTTACGTTAATGATTGTTTAGTCATTGTGATAGGATCTTCCAGTTTCCAACGCAGAGTTTCTTAATTCAATCCCAGAGGGGCACATGTAAAGAACGAGGTCTTTTTGCCAGATTCAGTCCGTTGACAGAACTTTGACCGTAAGCTGATAATATTTTCACAGCCTTTTTTAATAAGCCTAATTTGTGAGCTATGTTCTACCTAGGTTATAGGCTAGATTATCTTTCAATCGACCCGCAACGAAGGTCTGTTTTGGGGACATTTTGGTGCAGTGTTAGCTGGTTTAATAAATAGCCACTCGCCTTAAAAGACAGTCCAAATGGACATTTAGCTCTGCTAGCAAGCCTTCCGTGATTGGCATTAACTGTGTGGACTCACCCGTGACGATATGAGTTATGCAACTTTTGTATTCCAAAACTGAAATTGTCACCTGTTTTTGTGGCAGTACGGTCCCCCTCCTTTCAATGGCCTGTCGTAAAAAACGACAACTGCTGGAATTGCTGACTACAGGTGCGTGTTAAATTCTCAAAATGCTGCGCTGGAGAGCCTTGTCCTTCAATTCCAAGAATATGAATACCGACTGGTTTGTACAACCGCTAATCGTCGCGATTATAATTTGAAAACTAACTTTGTAGCGGAGCAGTTCGTTTCCACATTTGGGCAGACATTTCCGATCGGCATTAATGTAAAATTTTTTTCTAAAAATACCCCGACAGCGCAAAATTATGCGCTAAAACTCATTGTCATTCTTGCTCGTCAGAGGTCAGACACTGACGAAGGTCCTACATAACTGATGATCGTACATTCCTCCAACATAGGACATGCGAACAGATTGAGAGATAGGGAGAGAGAGAGAGAGAGAAAGAGAGAGAGAGAGAGAGAGAGAGAGAGAGAGAGAGGGAGAGAGAAAAAGAGGAATACGCTTTATTTTAAAGCCATAAATTCTGCGCAAAACTCACTAAAGGCAGAGAGCCTGTCTGATTTTTTGTTGTAACTGTGCGTAACTCCTCGAAAGAATTATTAAGAATCTATCGCCCACATGAGACGTCCCCAGCGCCTGCTAACAGCCCAAATATTTCCTGGAAATCAGATCAACTTCACGGAACCCAATATGAAAAATCTGATTAGTAGTGTCTGACGGTAAATTACGCCCCGTTTCCGAAATTTGCGTTTGTTTCAACCTTTTAGTTTGTTTGACAAAGTGGCCAAATGCGGTTTGCACCATACGAATGGCGATAAACTTATATGTGCGAAAAGCTGGTAGCTGTAGTAATCATGTTTTTGTTTGTTTATTAGCGGTATGGTTTGTGTTCTCGTTGCTCTCACACTCGAACCCTACAGGTAACCCTAGAATTTAAATCCAATTCCAGTCATAAAATTAAACTAAGCCTAAGCTCGAATATCCTCTTACTGTTACTTTCAGTAACCGCTACCATGACTAACAATCAGTCTCCCCAGTTGCCTGCTTGTGAATTTGAGTTGTGTTTTTGTATGCGGCTTTGTGAGTTTCGGCCAACTATTTCTATAAGATTAGCAGTCTGTCGCCGTCGAGGACTTACTCGTTTCCTAATGCTCGTTTCCTAGTGCTAGCCAGGTACTCACCACTGAGCACAGAGGTATTTTTGCTGAATTCCGCCTGTCGTGAATCTGAGCAAGTATGTGATAAGTGGCAATTAACCACTGAACTTTTTTAGCCCGACTGAAAGCGATGGTTAGACTGACGAATATGAACGCGCCTGTCTGTACGCATTCCTTCGAGTACCGCGAGACCACCACCCGATCGGTCTACATCAGGCTGGGGAGATTGGGTAGGTTGGGCCGTGTTTCCTACCTCATTGGAGGTATTCGTTTGCTTTGATTGGCTCTTGACTTTGCAAACTCTCCTTGTCCTCTCGCTGTGAACCCAATCCGGGAGTCGACAAGCGCGACCAATTACACTGTAGTGCATTCGGCCTAGGGGAGGGTGGGTGGCAGAGCGTACAGCCGTCAGAGTGTGACTGTTGCGGTCTTTCTGTCCGCGATTTTTCTAATTGGTAGGGGAGGTAGAAAGAGCGTAAACGCACAGTGTTCTGATTGGCTATCGGACCTCTACCCACCTATTGGCTGTTGGTATCGTGATCACCCGTAGACATAACAGAGGAAGCTAGCGGACCAACCAGCACTGACATTGCTGCCACCACCACCTTGGGTTTTATTAGCCTGCCGCTCACAATATACTTTGCCTGTTAGCACATCGTCGTGGTGACTACCTCGCGCATAATTGCGCCGAGCCTGTTTTATTAAAGGCTACAGACAGGCACTTGATTACCGGCTGGAATTCCCTACAACCGCGACCTGTGGACAAATCGTACCACACACATTTCCCCACCCACCCTTCTCCCCTGCTCTCATTAATTACACCGTGGATATACTTACTGTCCTGTTCCGGATATTACTCATTCGGGATGAATAAACATCGCGGTCGCGAATCGAATATATACACTGTAGAGCGCCTTATCAAGCGGCGCGTTAGAATGGTAAGTATCCCCTACCTGTGGCACGAAGTGCAGCTTCTAACCGCAGAGTGCTGGCCTATTCATTTCCTTACTTGCGGTCATTGGGGCTGTCTTAAGGCCCATGTATCTCAACTGTTTTTCTCTTTTCTAGTCTAAAGTGGAGTACCTGGTGAAGTGGAAAAACTGGCCGGAAAAGTAAGTCAGACAGACTCCTGAACGCATGTTGTCTTTCGTTTCATGTCTTCTTTCTCTCTAGCATAAGCACGTTTATCGGGTGTTTATTGTGGCAGCTTTGGTTGCTGCAATACATCAGCAGCAGCTAAACCATCGCCCGCCGCCGCCGCTGCTGTTTCAGCGCTATGGTGTGTGTGAACGCGCCTCCGCGCTTGCCAGTGCGGGTGTGCCGAGATAGCGCGCCAGCCCAGCCCATGGAGCGCGCTAGCTTGGATCGTTAGACAGACAGCGAGCGGTCACCTTCCGCCGACGCCGCATGGCACGTAGTGATCGACTGACGGACAGCCGCAGCGCGCAAAGCCGACAGCGCAAACGCGCGCCAGCAGCTATAATTCATGCGCAGCTAGCGGCGATCGATACGCGTCGGTGGTTGGCCTGGTTATGCGAGCATTGATCTGTGCCCCGGCCTCGCCTTAGCGCGACTAGGCAGCGACGATAGTAAGTGACGGTAGCGACCAGATGACTCCTTGCCGCAACGACAACGAGCTTCGCTCAGCGCTAGCTCGCTGCCGCATGCATGCGTTTAGGCCAAATTTAACGCGTCTTCAACCGGCTTGAATAGTAAAGGTTCAGTCCAAATGAAACCAAGAGGATACCTCACAAACGGGGCTTAAAATTAGGTAGTTTTATTAGCAGGAAAAGGAGGCCGAAGTCCTAGAATGCAGAGACTACTCTATTGCTTATCGGCTTAGGTTTCGACTGTCGATAGGGGTTGATTTCGTTGTCGTTTACCATTTCTTGCTCATAACTGTCTGACACTCAGTGGACTCTAGATGGCAGGAGAGTCGCGTTAAAGGAAAGACAGTCGCAAGTTCAGTAAAGTAGCCTCTTGCCCCACAGGGTGCAACTAAGTTTTTCGTATTTCCTCTAAAGAATGATTGTGAAAACGAGGAACCCGTCGTTAAGGTTGATGTTTGTTCTGTATATAATTGATATTATTCGTCCCCTAGAATGGCATCCGCTCTGTAACAAGCGACGCGTTTCAAACACCCATAGAACCCAATATGGTCTCACGGAGGTTTTCATAGTTTACACCAAAGCATTTGGTCCGGTTAATGAGACAATGAAAGTGCAAAAATGCCACTCATTTTCTTAATTATGACATTGTGACTCTTTTAGGCACAATACTTGGGAACCAGATGAGAACATACTAGACCGGGAGCTGATAAAGTCCTTTTATGACGAGTAAGTATTCCCCTCATGTAAGCTCTATACCATTTGAGCGTTTGTATGCGAATTTGTCGGGGTCGTAGGTATAACTTTACTGAATTACGAAAAATTGACTTCCTAGGGAGGAGCGTAAAAAAGAAACCCAGAATCTTGCTGAAACTAAGACAATCCCAAGTGCAAATGGTAACGCAACGCCCCTCGCCAAAAACCAAACACCCACAAAGACACCAACGACTTCCGTTCCTTCGTCGCCTCCTACGAAGGCCACAACAGACATGGGTGAGAGGGTGCAGAAGCCCCTGTCTGTTTCTGTCACTCCCAGCCCTGGCTCCCCTGTTCGTGCACCTGCTGACAGTCGACAAGCGTCGCTTCATAATCCGGAGGCCCCGACTTCAGGAAGCAGCGCGGCTACTGCAGGATCTTCTACTTCCCCTCCCGTATCCAGCCTCGGTTACGACACCGCCATCTCCCCCGATGGTGATTGGCACTCGGAAAATAGGCTTCGTAAAACAACACTTCTGGTGGCCACTGCGTCACAATCTAGTGCACGACAGTCCAACAGATCTGCGGCCGAACACGCTAGATCTGGCATCCCAATGGTAAGTCCTCCTCCTCCTCCTCCTCCTCCTCCTCCTCCTCCTTGTTTCACCTTCGATTGGCTAGTTAGGTTAATGCCACACAAGCTTGCCGTTAACTGTCCCTCAGTGATGAGACGCAATAATTATCTTATCCGTATGCTTTACTTGTCTTATATCCTAGCCATCAAAAGCCAGTCAGTTTGAAGCCGCCTCCAACGCTGTTACCGTCAGCGCCGCCCCTACCACCCACAGCACAACTAGGTCTGCGGTTACTACGGTAACAGCGGAGAGCACTGAGCGACCAAAAATCCGACTGACCATACCTCGAGAGCGCCTCATAGTCTGCCAGACCGCATCGGTCAACTCCAGCCAGGATTCCTCCGGCTTACTTCAAGACCTCGAGGATGAAGAAGAGGCTGGGGGGGATCCAAACTTCCGCGCACCCCTGGAGCTGCCTCGTCGAAGCACAACCGACGTGGACGAGGATGGTTGTTTAAGCATACCCCCTCCATCCCTTCTGCCAGCTCCAGAGATTTGCGAATCCAGTGAGTCCTCCCTGCCCAAAGTCGTTCTCTCCACTAAGCGCGTGGTCAGTAGCACCTGGCTCGGGAAGGAGAAACTACTGCTGAAGAAGGAGTCCCGGCACCCCAAGAAGAAACGGCGACGAGAATCAGGCGGTAGCAGCAGCAGGGACTTTTCTTCACAACGCCGGCATCAGTCAGGCTCCTCGGCCTCCTCCTGTGTTAGTTTCTCCTCCACATCGCCCTCAGTCTCACCAGCCCTACCAACGAATGAAAGTCCACCGCGTATTGCCCCCCTTCGTATTCAGTTGTCCCGATCCAACACCATTGTTCAATACCCTGGCCCCAACGAGCCGGCAGACGAGCGTCCCCTCTATCGTGTCGCCGCTTCCACTCACCTCCACCACCATTGTCCACCACCGCCGCCACCGCTTTCTGTTCCCTACCGACCTCATCTGGAGCGCGAGATCTCCATCACTGACGTGACGGTCGGCGATCTGACCATCGCCATCAAGGAGTGTCCCACACCGAGCAACTTCTTTGGTATTCCGTCATGCCAACTGGTTCAACCCAGTCGTCCTCCTTTAGCACCACGACGACCCGGCGTGAAGAGTGTTCACCATCCTAACCGGCAGGACACCTCGCCGATGGAAGTTGCCGATGAAAACCGTGAGCCATCACGAGCGATTACGGGTGCAGAACTCAGTGTTATTGTGGAGGAGGAAGATCGGAATGACGTTTCAGCTGACCCCGCCCTGCCCCCAGATCCTCCACCAGCTGTATCGAGTCCTGCAGCCAAGACCATGGTCACAGTACCTGACGGGGAGACCGCGGCGGTCCCGCCTTCGCCACCCCGTCGTGCCTCAACTCCAATTCAGCTACCGCTCATCGATTTATCTTCGTCTTCTACCTCCTCCTCTTCTTCCACGGCCATTGTCACTACCACCACGCCCGCGCCCCTCGAGGCCAGTCAGGAGGAGCGAAAAGGTGTTGCTGATGCTGCCACAGATGCGGCTGCTGTCCCAACTCCCAATGTCGCCCAAAGCCCTCGCGTTGTAAAAGTGGCACGATTGGGCAATTTCTGGGCTGGAATGGGCAAGCGGTCCAGGCGGCGAGTCCCCCTCCTACCGAGGACAAATACTAGACCTGTGGTCGCCTTGTCCTCCGGTCTCCCGAAGAGCCCCTCTGCAAGCATTGCTGAAAACGTGTACACTTTCCGCGGTGATTCTCCACCACCTCTGGCGCAGACCGTCAAAACGCCAGCAATCCCGTGTCCATCGCCGCCACCGCCAACGTCTTCCCAGGGGAAGGAGGATGAAGCGGTTAAGAGGCCAACTCCAGCGCCACCTCCGTTGTCGCAGGTCGACGGCTTCCCAGCCCCAGGCCTCTACAACGCGGCTCAGCACCAGAGGCTACCACCGGTCCCCGTCCTTTCCCCGGGTGGCATCACCCTCTGTCAGTTGGTGGCCGCGACTACAGCAGCAGCAGCAGTGGGTTCGGGCTGGTTTCCCGAGACCCCACCTCCTGCGCTGACTCCTTTCCCGCCTGCCAGTCTGTCCATGGGAGGAGACCGACCGTCGCCGTACCCCTTCTATCCCTTCCTCGCGCAGATGCGTCCCTCAGGCGCTCCCGTCACCGGAGCTGGATTGTTTTCTCCTCCACCCCCCACCGCATCCTCGGCCGCAGCGATCTGTCCTCTTTCGTCTCCCGGAACGGAACCGGAGGACATGCCCATTGATCTCTCGGCAAAACGGTAGTCCACCAAAAGCCGCCCCAGTTTCCATGCCATCATTACTTTCATACACCTACACCCTGCCGTCGGGCTTTCATTCTGATCATCTTGCAGTTCAGTCCGCCTCCCCCCTCCCTCGCTCGCTGCGACTGCCACCGACCGCCTTTCTTATGTATGTGCCTGGGTTGTTAATTTTTTTATCAGCACATACCCATGCACACTTGTACATCCACCCAAATCGAGAAATGAGATTATCCTACTTATACAATACCCATTTTTTGCCAAAGCCTTGTGTTTTCCACCTAGTCTTTGGGGAGCTGGGAAAGAGGGATTGGGGTAGTCCTGCCGTCCCTTTCCGCCTTCAGACTGATCAGATGGATCTTCCTTCTAACTTGCAAACCCTTTGCGGGCATGCCGACACAGTCGCGCGCGTTTCTTCACCTACACGGTGCTCGTCGGCATGACAGATGAGGGCTTCCTTAAAGCAGTCGCTTGGACGTATAATATGCTGCTGAAGTGTCGCAGCTACTTCCGTCTCCCAGTGCCCACCTCAGCAGGCGACAGAGACCAGCCCTAGATCAGTAAAGATCGGCGGATAAAGTTCGTCCAAGAGCGTCCTTGTCTCGAAAGAATTGCGAGCACCAGCCGATCATGATTTCAGGACGGGCTATAAGCGTGACCTGCTTGTTGTGGATACACAGCACGCTGAGGCATTGGTGAGCTTGCTGTCCCCTCACACAAGGCAGCACAATTCTGTGCTGAAACTTTGCCCAGGCCTAGTAATTGGCCGTGAGGGGAGGGTTCAGGTTAGCATCCCTTCTAGTGACAGCATCAGCGGACCGAGTAGTTACCGCTAGGAGTCAGCGACGGTGAGGGCAGTCGAAATGGATCTTATAAGAAGATGACCGGAGGCTGGGGTACCGGCAAAAAGAAGGATTACTGAGGTAGTCGTTTCCGGCCTGCCAACCGTCGTCGGCCAGCCACGCACAGCTCAGGCTTGCCCAACCTGGGACTCGAACCAGGATTCTCTGGTTATTGGGTACAAGGCACCCAACGCTCTACTATAAAGCTTATATTACTGGTCGTTATGTGGCTACCTGAGAGCAAGTTCCCTATTCTGATCAGTGAAGTCACAACCTACGGCGAAGATATTTGCATCAAGGCTTGAGGTCGGCTATATCTGTCCAGTCACGGTAGACGGCAAGACTTTTGAGCTGGTGGACATCTGCTGTCTTGAATCCGGCTTTCTGCAAAGCGGATAAGACGAGGAGGATAGCGAACGCCGCGCCGGCTGGGTGCGTGCGTGCGTGCGGCTGATCACTTTGGACTCGGTGAGTCAGATCGGGAGGAGGGCTCTGCTGCAAAAACAAGAGTCTGCTGTCAATAAAATTCCCTTAAGATGGATAGAGAGATGGCCTGAAGTCCCAGCTTGGACGTATTCACTCGGTTAGGCTTGCTACGCATTCTTCAAATGCAATTCTTTAATCAAGCCTCAGACGAACGTATATAGAATTCCTGGGGAATAGAGCACGTCAAATACGCCCTTCTTACCAGTCGACTGAGATAGCTTGGCCATATGCCGCACCTATCTGAAGGCATAGTCGTCCGGGCTCGCACGCCTCACCAGGATCGAACTCTGACTGGCGACGGCGCCAATGTAACTGACTGAAGACGCTAGTGAGGGTAGTGAAAGCTGGTCTCAAGCGCACCTCTGCACTCCTCGATCTGATGTGCAAGTGGCCCTCGGGGATCTCCCAACGACAGGCCGACCGCGGTGGAAGACGTACCTTAGTGATGCGTTAAACTTAGCGTCAGCTGAGGCAGTACTTATGTTAGACAGGTAAAGTAGTGTTTTGCCTTGGAGTTCCAGTCGCTAGCTGGTCAGACAGTACAGCATTCGGCTCAGTGACCAGTTGGACATGGATTCAAAGCGCAGATCTTCCCCGTCTGCATCCACCATGTGACGGTTTGACGGTTGTATTAAGTTGTTCGGAAAATATTTGGGTTACTTTTTCAACTCGATTTTAAAGGCCGAAAGCAATTCCTATTTCGGCAGTGTTTTGTACAAAGTTTTACTCGCATAATGATTGATGCGTATTCTTGAGTAATTATCCCACAGTTTCTGTCCGAGTACAATTGTGAGGCATGTAAACCCCTGATAACAGCGACGAAAAAAGAAGAAATGCGTTTTATTTCCTTGCATGAGTTCGAACTAGGTCAAAATGCTGCCAAAGCAGCCGGTATGCACAGTAGGGTCCACGAGTGATCGGAGAGTACAACGGTGATTTCAGAAATCCCGTAGTTGCTATGTGAACCTTGAAGATGAAGAAGGAAGAGGAGGGCCATACAGTCTTGACAACGGACTTTTGAAATTAATCGCTGAGGAAGATCCACCTCAAAACGTCAGACAAGTGACAGTATTTCAACGGTGTCCGACTCGTCTAACGCAAATTAGTAAGACGAAAATGTCTGATAGACGGGCCCTTAATGAGTTCGGTAACAATCGGAGCGTTAGGCGTTTTGAAGTGTGTTTGGCGCCCTCCCTGTGAAACTCCAATGATATATTTATTTACCGAATAGAAACGTGATGGAAAATGGATCCTTTATGATAAAGATAGATGGTCGGGACAGTGGCCTGGTCGCGGCGAAACACTCAAACACTTCTCGAAACCGCAGCCGTGTCAGCAGGACAGTTTGGCGGCGGTGTTGTCCATTACAACTTTCTCGAGGCTAATATGAGTATTACAGTAGGGGTTTACTGCAAACAACTCGTAGAACTGCGTGTCCGTTTGAGAGAGCTGATGAGGGGAAGATGTGGTTATGTAGCCCCACCGGATACTGCTAGAGTTGGGGCTAGGGGTTAGGGTTAGGGGTTTGGGTTGGAGTTAGGGGGTTGGGGTTGAGGGTCAGGGTTAGGAGTTAGGGCAATTACTTTTTAACCACCAAAATTGTAACCACGCATTCCCAATATCTTTTCTTTTGCATACAGTTACTTGACCTCGTCACCTGTGCGTTCCCCGACCCCACCTGTAAAAACCGCTGTCACCACCGGTCCCGTATTACAGGTGGCTAGGTTTTGTTTACTTCAGGCGGGGCTACATAATCACATCTGACCAAAATGAGACCTGCAGTAGTGAATCCACACAGCCCTAATTCGTTCCATGACAGCGCACGGTCTCATGTTGCCAGGAGGACACCGCAATGACTTTGGAATACATCCTTCCACATCCTTCATATTCTCCCGCTCTTTCACCCACTGACAACCATTTTTAAGCAACAGAACTTCCAAGAAAAAAAACTGAGGTGGAGTCTGGATTAATACATTTCTTAGCCTCTAAGCCAGTGGATTTATATTTACGAGGCCTAACTGATCTTGTTTATCGGTGAAAAAGATGCGGAGATGTTCAGGGATCCTACTCTGGCTAATTTCAACATATATTATGCAGATTTTTTTAAGAATAAATGTCTGTTTCTGAAATCGGCCAGTATTTTCCGTACGACCTAATATATATAAGTCAACGATAGTAATTTCGGTCTCCCCCCATCGGGTTTTTTGTCTGGAGCGTTTGCTCCGCACGCGAGTCCACAAATGAACGATGGCAATCTCCTGTAAAGGACTGTCTTCTCTACGGAAGGCGATTTCTGCCTGGTTGCGACATACCTGACGTTTGACAGGCCTCGTTCATGCTACCGAGCTCATAGCTTTGCAGCCGCGTCCGAGCATTCAGCCTGACGAACTGTCGTTTTTCCGTACGGCCAGCTTGTTTAGCTGGAGTCGCGCGGTTAGTTTGGCCTGGAGGAGGGGGTTTAAGGTCTCGGCTTTCCATAGATGAAGCACGGCTTAGGCAGTTGTCATTTCAAGCGTGAACCATGA